TTCAGAAACTTCTTTGTTATAGTCCCGTTTGCTTTAAATCGTGAGTGTTCGCTGCGAATCTGCCCTTGCCCTCTTCCCTGTTTCGCAGGACAGATTGAAGTAACGTCTGGTTCTTTGTTGTATGTGACTGATTCTTCTTTTAGTCAGTCGTTTTTTTTCTTCTTGGAGAGATTTAAGGCCGTCCATCGCCCATAAGTTAATTGCTCCAAGCTTTCTCCATCTTCATCCACGTCATCTCAGCTTTCAAAATCGTCCCAGAATGCGTCCCATTCTTTGCCTTCATATTCGATGCTTCTTCTACTCCCCTGTTTCATCGTCTGACAACTCTACTCTCGGCATGGCATGCATATTTATGCTCATCGTCATGAATGCAATCTCTTTCCGTTGTTTCATTGTGCTGTGTTCGCTCCTTTCTACTTTCGTTGTTCCGACTTTGAGTTTTAGGCAATCCGATTTCCTGTGTCCAATCTTTCACAGTGGAAGCACTTTCCGTTGAACTTCTTCTTTCCTTGAAATCCGCTACTGCTCCATTTGTCCTGTTGAATTTACCGTTTGTCTTTCCTTGGTACCTTTGTTCGTAGCTTCTTCCGTTCGACCTTTCTTGTCTTGGCAGTCTTGTTGCTTGTGTCCTGATCTTTCCACAGTTCCTGCATCCCACTTGAATTGTTTTTCTCAATCATGAAAGCTGTTCGCCATTGTGGTCTGTCGACTTTTCGTGCCTTAATCTCATCGTAGATTTTGCATGAGTCATCCACCACACTCTTTACCGTTATTCATGTCCTGTTGTCTTGATCTCTTCTCAGAACATTCCTTCTTCACTTCATGATACACATCCGATTCTCCTTCCTTCATTCGGCACTCTTCTCGAAAGCGTCCTTGATGTACTCTTCGATCCGATATCTTGAACCCGTACCTTCGCTAGCTTCTTGCGATTCACGTCGAGTCCAATCATCGAACTTCTTTGGTTTCCTTTATGTCCACTTATCGCGCGTATATGCCGTTCGTCGAGCTGCCAACCTCCCACGTCTTCAGCATCGTAGAGGTCCAGCATGGACATCCCACATGCCCTTGAATATCCCCAGCAGCAAATGGCCAGTCTTTGGTGTGAGGCCAAGTAGGTCCGAAGGCGACTGCCTTCGATGTCTCAACATTGATCGTCCAGCAGTCATTCCAGCAGCCCTTGCTGTTTCTTCTCCCGCAGACTTCTCGACCTTTTCCACTTCGTCGTCCGACAACTGCCTGTACCTGTAGGGTTTTCCAGTTGTCCGGTTGATCTCCGTAGAGTCTTTCATTAGTTCTACGTACCCATACTTTGATAAATGGGCCATCATCTTGACCTTGTAGAACCTGAACTTCTCATCTTTCCCATCGAAGATGGGTATACTTGCTCGACGATGATACTCTACCTCCGTAGACATCTTGACTTACTTCTCAATTCTTCTTTTTTCTGTTTGACAACTGGATCCAAGCTCACTCTTTCCTGATAGCTATCGTTTTAAACGTTTTGAAAAGGTGTGAACTTAACTCACAATTTCTCTAATTTATCAATATCCTTCCAGCTCTACTGTCTAGTAGACTGGTTATTCGTTTCGTTTTCTCTTCTCTCTCGTTCAGATTGTGAGCTCTACAACTGAGCTCCGATATGCATACATATACCAGGTCTTTCGATCCTCTGTTTCTCGCAGTTTCATCTCAGATAGATCTCGTCGATCTATCTTCCTGAAGTCATGTTTGGCCCTGGAGGGCTTTCCCACTTTACTAAACCTATGGACCTTCATCGTCCATTCATTTGCTCCGTCCCATCGCTCCTTGCATTCGTCTCTTCGACCTAACTTCTAACCTTTGTAGTTGCATCATCTAGACGACCATTGTCCTCGTTCCTCGTACACCTGGCCATCTGATGATGATCGGATAACCATCTGATTTGAGTCACACATCCTTAGTCACGAACCGTGACTGCGGATCCCGAGTCGTCTGTCCGTCATACGAAAATACCTTTCTAACAGCCCGGGCCCATGCAAAAGCGCATTAGGGATAAGTCTGTCTTGCCAACAATCAAGTTGCCGATCCAAAAACACATTAGGGATAAGTCTAGTTACGGTATCTTGCCAACGAACCAAGCTTTTTGTCGGCGCACTCTCTGCCGCACATTTTTCTGCGCTCGACCATGATGAAGCTGCCCCTGAGCAACTCTACTAGCTAGCTACGGTCCCCATTGCCTTTGCTTTCGGGTAGTCGCCCTCGCCCCAAAGACAATGGTCTTGGTAGGCAATTATTCTGTCCAACTAGTCCATGCCAAGACCAAGGAGCCATTCAAGGAACATTTAGGACCGGATGGAGTGATGTATGCCGAGGTGGAACCAGGCATGGACTACTTTGTGGAGCTGCAAGTGGTGGGAGGAGATCCCAAAGCAACCAGTTTCTTTCGTCTCACCGTCGATCGTCAAAGGCTCAACTATGGCAGCTTTTACCGAATGTCCAGTGGGAAACAGTACAAGGGCTTGGTGTATCGAGAAAAGGGTGTGAGCGTCAAGAGAGCATTTTCCTTTCAGAAGTGTTCTGCCAAGAACAGTGGCAAAGACGATGATGGAGCACCCGAAGTGACAATTGGAGACGTGATGGTAGAGATCTCTGAGGCGATTCGATCCCAAGAAAAAACGAGAAAACCTGAATTCTGGTATCAACCCATGACACCGCAACCCTCCCTTTCGCAGAGTGGCTGCAATAAAGCTCTGAGATCAAAGGAAGGATATCATGCAGAACAACAATCTGTTCAGCTGTACGGATACAGCTACAAACCTGGAAAATTACTGGAGACTGTGACCATAAAATATGGCACTGCATGGGGCCTCATGCGGGCAGGAGTGCTAGCCAGACCAGAGGAATGCCCTTTGGTATCAAAGCAGCAGAAGCGGAAGAAGCAACGTGCTGCGAAGAGCAGTACGCACGGCACATCAGGATCTTCATCATCACAACGGCGCTATCCCTCTCAGTTCCTTGGTGAAGGGAGAGCTTCAAGGAAGAAACAATCCTCCGATCATAGCAGAATGAATGTATCCGACAACGACAACATCGGCACTATGCATTCGAAGAAACAATCAAAGCGAGGCAATGTTTCCGCCTCTGGTGAGATCATTCCTGATGGTTGCACCAATATAAAGCCTGACACTCTCAATGATAGACAGCAAGCATCAGACAGAAGAGCATCGTTCACCGTCGATAACGCAGACAGCAACAAAACGGCAACGTGCGCAACCCGACATGCACAGCAACAACAGTCTCATCATGTGAGATCTTATGTAGGAGCAAAGAAGCAAAGCCTTGCGCCTGAACATCGAAGAAGGAGCAAGTGCAAAGCTGAGTCTCCGCACCGGCATCGACAACAATCAAAAAGTTTGTCGTCGTTTGATCAAAGAACCAAAAGAAGACCAGTTGCAGCAAACAACCAGAAGACTCGCACAGATGGATGGCAATCAAAGAGACGAGCTCCTGTCTCTCATGCAACTAATAATCATACGGATACGCAGAGCCGTGCGAATCCCAAACGCGTCAAGTACAGCAGCAGAACTCAAACAGACGGCAGAAGGGTACAAATCAAAGAGTATGATATGTATGACTTTTGTGAGTTGTTTGATGCAAGATGAAGACTGTGGGAACGAAAGGAACTATTCAACCCCGGTACCGTTCACCGACGCTCGATCGAGGCAGTGCCAGGAAAGCCTACACCATCGAATGGACATTTATTTCGGTGTCAAATTGGCAACGGTTCCACGGGTCAAGACCCTACCGTGTGCACAGCTGGTGTCAATGATAGATTGACCCCTACAATCTACGTTGATTTCAACATCGAACTTTGGATAAAATGGGGTTACAGAATGGTTTTAACAAATTTCTAAAGAGCAGAATCCATGGCAAGCAGAATGTCGTCCGTCTCCTTGAGTTTGCGCCAAAGGGAAAGAGATGAAATAAATAATGAGTAAAGTGCTATGAAGTGATTGAATTGGGTAGAGGGTGGTGGCGGTTGAATGAAATTGAAGGTGTCACGACTTGCTTCTTAAGCCTCGAAGCGGCGTGATTCCCTCTTGCGGGTTTCTGGACCCATTCTTTCGCTCAATCTTCGTGGTGGTGGAACCATCTTTCGTCTCTCCACCTGACGGGGCACAATTTGCTGGTGTTCGATTTTGCGCACGGTTGGCCTTGGCCGCTGATTGACTGGGCCATTTTCAAAGAGGCGCTGTTCTTCCGAGTAGTTTGGAAACTGCCCAAAGATGCTTGCAATGCCGTCGCCAATTGTTTCCGATGTCGACTGAAATGGTGGGGCTTCGATGCCGCTGGCGATCGAAATGCTAGCGGATGATTTCATTTGTTCGATCCCGTGGCTGGCGGACAGTGTCATTTTCCGGACAAAGGATGCAGAGGCCGATGGCGATGCAGCAATGGCTCCTGATACGCGCGAAATGACAGCGGAGGACCCCTCTGTGACACGTGAAATGGCAGCCGTCGAACCAGTACCGGTTCCCTGCAGTTTAAGGAGGAAGGATGGATTTTGCATCCTTGGAGAGCCTGCGTCACTCATGAAGGAATCGCCGCTTTCGTAGGAAGAGTAGCTGCTTGAGATGCCGACGTCACTCTCTGATGAAATGTAGGCAGCGGTGCCGTGCGAATGTTTTCGAACATGGCGACTTTGTCGACCGTGCCTTCTTCCTTCATGGTCGGTACTTCGATCGGTGGTGGTCGAGGACGAATCACTGGTTGGGCTGCTGCTCATTGAGGAAAATTGTGAGATGTCATCGGAGCAATGCTGACTGGCATCGGATACCTCTTCCTTCGCAAAATCCGAAGCTGTCACTGGCGGCTGATGGTTAATGTATGATTCCATGACGTCGCTGGAAAGGTTTGTTTGGTCCGCATCATCCGAAATCTGCTTTTTGTTCCAGATGACCAGTCCAATGGAACGGTTGTTGCGAGGTAGGCCTAATGCATGCCACCGAGGCGGAGTTTTGCTTTTGGTCTGCTGCGCTTCTGAACGCGCGAGGTCTTTCAAGACGGTAGCTTTGTCTGTTGCTGAATTGTTACCGGTGCCAATTGAACTGAGAGAGGGAATACTCTTGAGGCCGGAAGAGAACGAGGAAACCCTGACCATATTTGCAAACTTGTTCAGTGAGCGTTTACTGCCAGTATCGTCATACTTGTGGCGACCGAGCATCTCGGCCTTTCTCGGCAAGGGGAAAACGAAGAAGGTGAGACAATATATTGTACACGCTTTCTGGAGGAACGTTTGGATCTCAACTTACGGTTTGAACATTACTTTCACTCCCGCCCGTGATTGCCGCAATCTTCGCCGAGACGGAACCATCCATGATTTCTACGAGCTCCACGTTCTCCGCAATGTCTGTGGGTTCGGGAGGTTGGGCTTGCCGACCAACCTGAGAGAGGGAAAAACCTGGCATTGATGGGTTCTTTGATTCAACGTCTGACCCTGCTGATCGAAGTTGGCTCGAACTTTTGCTACTGTCTGTACTCTTTGCGACACTTGCGATACAGACTGAAGCGTCCGCAGTGGAGGAGGTTCGGCCAACGAGCCTATGGGAGAATCCTGTGATAGACTTGGTAATATCCATGACCATGTTTAGCTCCTTGTCTTGACTTGAGTTTTTCTCCAAATCCAGTTCATCCGGACTTAGTCGTTGTCGTCGAGCCAGGACTAGACAATAAGCAGTCGCCGCCAATACTGTCCCCACGCTCACACAAAGGATTGCAATTAGGATTGCCATGTTGCGATCATTGGCATTACTATTCTGATGGTTATTGCCATTCTCGCCTGACTCGGAACCCGTAGAATAGGAGCTCAGGGCACCAACCAGGTGATTCTGGAGGTTCCCTCGATTGTCTTCCAGGCTTTGCTTGATATAGTCACGCAAAGCACTCTCCTCAATAATGACATCACCAACAGAAATTGCATGAACCTGCACGTCTAGAAGAGTTTTTGGGTTCTCTTCGTCGTTTCCAAGTTGCGATTGGCTTGTAATGATAGTCTTTAGAAAGAAGATTGGTACATCTTCGATGATGCTGATTTCGTCCGAAAGAAACTGTACCAATACGTTTTCAATCACAAGCAACGAGGTAGGATCCAACGACGATGAAATGCCTCCAATAACGATGGAAACATTTGTCTCATATTCCATCGTTCCACCTACTAGAACATAAACTGAAGAAGGTGCCGAAGGTTCTCCATAGGTTGGTTCTGTGGAAGGGTATAGCTGTGCGGACGGAGTGGGAGTTGGTACTTGGGTCTCTGTATTCATATTGTCTTCTCTAGGAGGCGAATCTGTTCCTGATGAAGTAGTATTGGGCATGACTGATGGTTGGTGCGAAGGAGACATTGTCGGTGATGAAGTGGGAGCAATACTTGGAGAGACTGTAGGCTCATTTGATGGTCCTTTGGTTGGGTTCTCAGTGGCAGGAGTTCCAGTAGGTTCAGATGAGGGTGGCTGCGAAGGTGCATCAGATGGCAGAGACGATGGCAGAGACGATGGCAGAGACGATGGTAGAGACGATGGCAGATGCGATGGCAGATTCGATGGGGGAGAACTGGTTGTTGAAGTTTCATTGTTCCCTTTGGGTAGCTTGATTGGGACAGACGAGGTTGGACTTAATGTTGGTAAATTGGCATGAAAGCTGGTAAAAGGCGAAGAAACATCCTTTTCGGCACTGACGATAGTCTCTTGTATGGCAGGACTTGGGGACGAGGACATGTCGGTTGGTGATGCACTCGGTCTTCCTGTTTCAACATCTTCTACGGTTGGACTAGAGCTTGGAGGTTCCCCTGTTTTCGTTGCATCTTTTGGTATTTCGCTTGATGCAACAGGCAACTCAGCAAGAGCGCCTGCTACGGATTGTATGGTGGTTTGTACCTCTGATACCCCAGCAGCACTACTCTGAGCATAAGCCACGTTACCAACATTGACGGTCCCCAGTGCTACTACCAAGCCAAATATCTGCCGAAGAGGTCTCGACATGGTCTGGCTTTTGCTGTATATTTGGAAGGTAGCACCTTTGTTGCTACGTGATCTTGTCCGATGATGAAGATGATGATGAACAAAGCCAAAGCCGAAGCCAAAGAGCAAAAATCGCCATTTTGTGAGCGAGGGAAACAACAATGTGAACGGTTGCAGAGGCTCCGTAAGTAAACTGATGGGAGTGAGGGCTGACGCGTAAATACCTTAGCTCACCTAAGCCAGAAAATCCATCTTACATGACGGACCGATCCCGTTCACGACTCCAAGGTCGACTAGGAAACGGGCTTGGGACTACATCGTAGCTTGGCATCCGCACACAGGCACATCGGCAGGCACATTGACACTTGCTCGGCATTGGCTCATCAGGAACATCCGCACATCCGCACATCGGCACATCGGCACCTGCAAGGCACAGTATCGGACTTCCAAATGAATCAAGCACAGGCTTCGTCATGTTACATGTGTAGGGACGACAACACCGTTAGCTAGCGAATGTAGCCACCAGATACCGTACAGCAGAACTCACATCACTTTGTCTTCCAAAAGTACCAAAAGCTAGCTAGATCTATTCTTGCTGTCAAAGCTGCTTCGTTCTCTCAAATTACACACCGGGATGGGACTGCCTGTGTTGGCACTTCGGACAGGAGCCATCTTAGGGGAATGTGAAGCATCATACAGTAGTGTGTGTCTGTCTTTAAGTTTCGGGTGGTTATGCTTAGCTGCTGTGGACGTGCCGCAACGTGGATCGAAGTTGCTTGGTGTGGGGAAGTGAGGATCACCAGTTCCGGCGGGGGTTCTGGGTTCTGGGGGGCATGGTGGGAGGATCACAGGCCAGTTAGTTAACTGAGTGCTCCAGTGCGTTGAGAGAAAGTGGAAAGGCTCACAACTGACGGTATTTTGTTTTCGCGCCCTTATTTTTCATTTGGTTCACTAGGCGCGAAAGCTGGTTCACTACGCGCACCAAAACGCGCTCCTGTAAACATTAGAACGCAAGGCCGTTCGACCATTCACAGCGTCACACTCCCTAGCATTCCATAAAAAGATGTTTCGTCTACAAATGAGCGCGTCACCAGAAGAGCTGGCACCAAAGATCTTCCTTGAACTTAATAACATTGATTACACGTTGTCATCTACAAATTCCTCCATTGAGGTCAAGATGGAGATACAGGACACCCCGATTAGTAAAAAACGAAAACGCGATGATTCTTTCTTCGACACCATGAATTCTACATGCATCCTAAAGGAAGCTGCAAAACGTTTGCTTCAAGATAATGTCAAACCCGGTGACGGAGACGTCGTGTCTTATGCAGTTGCATTTTGGAACAACTTCTTCCGCCCCAGATTGGTGTCACCTTTGCGCCGCGCGCTGCCAGCAGTCAAAGAAGAGTAATCCTACATAATAAGAGGAACACATATAAATTTAAAAACACATAGTTTAAAAATGTCAGACTCCGTGTCCACTTCCAACACTCTAGTGTTGTCTGATTCTGAATCTGAATCATCAACGATGGCAACATCGCCAAACGCCCCAATTCTCCGCCATATATCGGAATATAGCATTGGAACGTTAATCGCCGAATTACGTTTCCGTTGTAAGCAACAAATGATCCTTAAATCATTTCCCACGCACGAATTGATTCAAGAACTGTTTGACTGCAAGGCGTATTTCCGTTGCCTCTCGTTTCAAGCTTTACTTAACGAACTCGAAAACCGAATGGATTCCCAAGAGAAAGTCGATGCCGTTGCCAGTTTGGTACAACCGGTTTTTGTTGATACTGAATTGGGAGGTACCGATCTTTGAAGATCCACTTTTCACCCTGAAACTTTATTCACCCTGAAACTAAATTCAACCACCGACTCGTAATTTCACGAAGCGATACTCCACCGACCTTTTAAAGTTTACCATAAAATAAACTCATTATTTTGAAAGTCAAACGTTTAAAATTTTAATACTATGCCTTACCAACCCCGTCCCAACCAAGCAATGAGTTGGCTTGATTTTGCGCTTCGTCCTTGCCCCGAGCGCATTTCGATCATGTGTAACAGCACTATCATGATGAATCCTCGTGCACCTCGGTCGCTTGGTGCCATGATGGTAGATGAAAATCGCACAGTTGAACAAGCCGCGTTTCTCATCAGTAATGCACAATGTTTCCGCACTCAACTTTTTAACAATCTAACCCCACAGGAAAGTTTTTTGGTCGCCATGAATTTGGATCCTGATGTCCTTGTTGAAGCGGTGGCACGTCGTGCTTTGTCAAGTGGTCTAACACCTGAGCAAGCTGGACGCGTTACTGGCGCCGTTTGGTTAAGTGGTCAAGATGCAGTAACCCGTCATCGTGTGGAGAGTGGATCTTTGGCCAGGACATACACTTTGCGCATGGTTCTCGAACCCAAGCCCATTCCCCCTTTACCCTCGTTAGGTTCCGACGATGACGATGACGAGGAGGATAAAGAGAACTCCAAACCACGTACGAAGAACGTGTGATTGGAGAGTCTTGTTTAATCACGCAAGATTTATTCGTGGCTAATTCTTTTGACACGATTTTGGTGGGTTAGTCGATAGCTCATAAAATAGAATAATGGAGGCTGAATACGACTTTTTCGGTGAAATTGAAGAGCTCGCTAAGCCGTGTGCTATTGTCAAAGTCGAAGACGATGACGACACAGCTGCCCGTGACGAACGAGTACACGACGCAAGCCTTCGTAATTACTACGCCTTGAAGGAGATGAATCCTTCCGACGAAGAACTGGCTAAGTATTTATTGGATCGCGATGACGGAGATCTGATGCAAAAGTTACCGTCAACGGTTTTACTTACTGAATTGAAAAGACGTGACTTCAATATCTTGTTTACATCCAACGATTCTGAGATTATGGATGAGGTTTTCAAACGTTTGATGCTTTCCAGCACAGCGTTTTCCGAAACAACCACACGTACCTACATGTCCGATGGCGACAACCTTTGGAAGTGCGTCAAGGCAACCTTAACGCCACCCCTAACCAGGAAACGATCTCTCAAAATGACTGTCGAAACAGTCGAATTGGAGGACGTTCTTTTTCCCAATGACCACGGTCATATCGATAAACGCCCCAAGATCAAAAAGAATTAAGTGACACGAAAAGATTTAAGAAATGTGACATGTTCCACAGAGGGTATAGTCATAAGACATTAAGTAATATAAGATCAAAATGACCCTTTTATTTAACGATAGTCATAATAGGGGGAATTGACCCTTATGTGCCACAGTGGATTAATGACTATTTTAGTATTACCCCTCTGTGGAACATGGAACATTTCTACGTGTTTTTGCGTAGCCCTGGTACAAAACCTCCTTGGCACATTTTTCGAAGATTGGCCAGAATGATGAGGCCTAAAAATTGGCGTCTGCCAATCACACCTCATCAAGCCACTCTTTGGTAAAGCTGCCAAGGGGGCTTTTTAGCCGTGCCCGAGCAATTCTAGGAGAAATGTTATATATGTTCCTCTTATTAGCCCACCCGGCGCCTGAGGGTAAGCCCACCCGGCACTTGAGGGTTAGTTTAGATAGTCTATTATATAGATACTAGAATAGATTCTTCTAGTATTCGCCAGGGTTAAACTGGTCTAATTCATGTTGAGAGAGGAGTTTAGAACCGGAGACTGGAAGTGATATCTATGGTTAGAATCGGTGTAGTAGTAAGAGCTAATCTATAGCCTACCCGGCACTTGAGGGCATTCAATTAAAATAAAGTAAATGTATACGATGAACTTGGTAGTTTATGTTTTGGGAGGTGTTCACATACCGGAACGAGATACTGGCTGATAGTTATGAGTAGAAGTGCAGCGACATCTAATTGATAATTAATTATTGGTTTCTATATGGTACTTGAATGGCACCATTTCTGTCTTAATTGTTATAGAGCAAAGCTGAAGATTTAAGAGATAAAGGATAATGTCGTTCTGATAGTACGTAAACAATATAAACCTCACCTATATTAATTGACCCCCCGATAGATCCTAAATCCGATGGCAATAACGGTATATTCCGAGACCCCACAGTCTATAATTGAAATGTTCTTTATGGATGTGGCTGATGTTAATTCGGAATTACCACGGGAAGAAACCAGATAGGGATCGAGTTAGATAGCCAATCTGGTGTGCGACGTGTGCTTAGCTTTATTATTGCGTGTGTAACGTCGTTGAGTATACCACAGCGCGTCCGCGAAACCGGGCGCGTGTGGAAGCAAATCAAGCCCTGTGCGCGCCGTCTGAGACGCACATGACTAGGATCATTATAATACTCAATGACTGTGCTGATCGAATTCACAATTTTGAAGCACTCGCAAAGTTTCATTTCCCGGTTTTAAAAAAGTCACTTTCAGCCCATTACATCCAAACAATGACAATGACAATCCCGATGCCGTTTGGATGTGAGGAAATGCAACCATCGGAAGTTCGCGTTGTCGGAAGCAACGGTGCGGTCCGTACCTCTTCTGAGGTACTGGAAGATGCGTCCATGACGGTAACTAAAGAACTTGAATCACTAGAGTATCTCAACACTCGCCAAGCAGTTAGTGAGATTGCTCAACTTTATGACATCCCAACCGCCGAACTATGGATCTATCACATGAAGGGTGAAGAAGAGCTGGAACGATTCTTCAATATTAAACATGCATCTGAGGCGCAACCCGATCCTACTGGAGAGGATGCATTTTAACCGCATCCAACCCTCGTAACCAACGCTCCCAATCCCTTTCCCCGTTTCCTTGTTTCCCTGTGTTCTTTCCAGGGGTATGGGGTAAAATAATTTCAAAAAAAAAGATCTAATATTATTTTAGACGTCCATCTTGGTGACAGCCACATCAACCACCACCTTTTTCTGTGTAGTCTTCTGCTTTTTCTTAGCCTTCTGTTTGTCGCCATCGTCATCTGCTTCACGCTTGTTACCATCCAAACCACACAACGTCAATGCAACGTCAGCCTCATCCGCACGGAAGGCATCACGCACAGCACACACGTCATCGTTCATCCCAATCGCCTCAACTTCCTTATCATCAATGCCTGCAAATTCATCAACCACAATAGGAACAATCTTGCTTCCAAGGGTGTTGCTTTTGCTAGGTTGGGTAACCCCGCGAGCCCATTTGGGTGCATTCTTTTTCGCCGTGATGTCATCAAAGAGCTGGTAGATTTGACCCACCTTTGAGGAATACCTCTTGGTCATCTCCATGTTGCTCCGATTGAAAACCTGTCGAGCCTTCTGCTTGGTCATACCACCAAGGGCATCGAAATCCATCAACTGTTGCATGTTTATCTCTGGGACATCTTCATAACAAATCTCATCTTCATCCGCCACCACACCACGAGAAGCACTCATGAGCCCAAAACCCGCTTTGATGAGCTGATTCGCCACCACAATGATAGGCGAAACGTCCTTGCCATTGTCACTGTTGATCCTTTCTTGTTGCTTGAAAAACAACGCCGCAACCTCATGCAGGCTGTTGTCCTCCGTCTTCATGGCGCAAAGCACTAGTTTCTTCCTATGCTCGTCATCGTGGGAAACCCTGTTACCATCAAGGTTGGCGAAAGTGTAGTAAGTGTAGGCGCGATTCAAGCTCATGATTTCAGATTTTATGAGCAAGATCCTCCGCCGTTTTTTTTCTTCCCTGTGCGATTTCATCTGGATCTTTGCGAGTGCATCACTATCCAGTTCTCATTTGTGACAACGTCCCATCAGGTATCGTGTCAAGATTAACCCTTAAGAAGACGAGTACCGGTTTCGAAGAGAGGCAACACAGTAATAGGGTAATCAAACGCGGGACCAACACCCCCCTAAGCCATACTCCAAAAGTAAGGCTCACTTTGCATTATGATGCAAAGCTCTCTCTTGTCTCATTTCTCATTCTTAAAAAAAAATGAACAAGTGGTTACGAAATCCAAGAGCTGAAGCATCGAGCTACCCCAAGGTACACGACGGGAGTACACCGTACTCAATTGGATGCCAATATAAAGATACTTTCGAGTTCGAGGTAGAACCGAATAAAAGTTATGGTATAATGTGCTACCCAGGATTTAAAGCACAAGGTGTCGGTGGACAACTGTACCAACGAAACGAGGTTTACAACATACACCCTAAGGAGTTCGCAGAACTACCCTTTACATTAACACAGAAAACAGAAGGGTCTAATGAACTAGCCTTCATAAGAAAAGAATGGGACCCTGTCGTGAAATGTTGGCGCGTTGTTTCTCAACAAGTGCGCTTTCACGCTATTAACACAACAGAAACGTCAGTAATTTGGGAAAGCATTCGTGTCGACACACGTGGCTTCGAAAAAGTTGTATGGGAGTATCATCAAGACGAAAACGGTCTCAATCCCATACCTGACTACCCATGGAACATTTCGAAATGGCAGAACGATAATACATACTCAAGTGGTGCACTAGACGAATTACACCACAGCTATTTTCAACTAAACCTTAATCATCATTGTTGGCCATGGGTGTGCCAATGCTGCATGAAAATATGCGAAGACAGCGACGACGCTATGGATACCGGAGAAGGTACCGGCGCTGACCCACCTGAAGACCCACCTGTAGACGATGACTTAGACGACGTCTTTGATGATGTGTCCGATACAGATAATCCACCAACAGATGGTACAGGAGACGATCCAGAAGACGAACCGGGAGGTCCAATTGGACCTATCCCGCCTTTGATTGGTTTCCCACAAAGACCTAACACAAACACTTATACTGCCACAAAACCTACCAAGAAGGATGACGAGACAGTCATGACAGAGTACGATATGACAGAGTTCAGTATAGACGACATCGAAGTTACAGATTGGCCTGATGTTATACTACCGAATCCTGACCCAACAGTCAAAGAAGCGGATCCCAATGTTTGGCAACGAGATCCTTTGACACCATCAGGTACACCATACGAAGTGGATAGTGACGAACCAGATGTGAGTGACTGTCATACGAGATTTTCTGGCGAGGCACCCTCAGACCCGTCGAACCCCAATCCACACCCACAAGCTATCGAGAGACCCGAGATCCAAGAGACTAACACACCAGTGAACAGTCATATCAATGAAATGGATTCTATTTTGAACCAGATCAACGCTTATAGAGCCACAAAAGGCTTGACACCTTGGTCAGTCGATATTCGGTTGACTCAACAAGCACTAGACCAAACGACATGGGTTTCCGATAACCCCAGGTCCATGGACAATATAGTTGATCCCATCACTGGAATTATCAAACAAGGTCACCCGATTGAGGGTTACCCCAGCGGCATGTTGTCTGATGAAAGAAGACTTAACTTTGAAGCATCAGTAGAACGACCTTTGGAACTTATGTACCTCGGAAGCAAAGCAGACATGGTTGCCCAATGGATAGCTTCCGGGCTCCATAGAGCAATGCTAGAATCCCCACAACACAAATCAATGGGAGTGTCATACAAGACAGCTCCCCGGTTAAGATACGGTGGCGTAGGATTTATGTGGATCGCAGAAAACGACGCACAAGCACCACCACAGAATCCTCCACCAGAACCAGAACCAGTAGTGGACATTAAAGACACTGCTTTGGATATAGCTGCGAAGAAGCTGAACTCCCCCTACAAATGTCCTGATCATCCAGATTATCCGAACGATTTACAAGAAGAACCCGAGCTGAACCGTCCGTCAGATTGGCAAGAGAATTTATCAATTGCAGAGATGCAAGCGATTGACGAGCTATTAAAGGACTCTTATGACCCTGTTTACAGGTATCATACTGCAGCCGGTCCCGGATTGTATCCGCCTACCGCATCCGGGAATTCACCCTGGTTAGGCAAGAACTCAAGTGTCTGGCCGAGACCCAATGAGTTTCCATTCCCGAATATCAACACAGTCTATACATATGACGCTACTGTTTGCGGAGAATATGCCTCTGTATACGGAACAGATGATCCAGTCACAAACACTGTATGGGATTACCAAGAATCAGAGCATACACCTTACGAAGGCTTCAGGAAACCGGAGACGTCATCTGAAAGGAAACACCGATTAGCTAAAGAACAACAATTTTTGGTATTATATGACAACAAGTATGGTGGTTTGAAAACCCCTCCTACACTACCTGTATGGGTTTCCGAAAAAGGATGGACTGTAAACGAACTGACCGAGTTGTATGAAGACTTTGGTCGATTAGTCTACGAAATGGATTACTCCTTTGACATGAACGAAGTGAAAGATCCATACGGCAATCCCTTTGGTACACCACAAGAGTTTATTGCTTTCAACTATTGGTTGTACCACCGACAATCCACACCTGTGAGTGAGCAACCACCAAATCGCGGGGATATTCCCGGGGAGCGCATTAATTTTATGGAGAGTACATCGCCACATTGGCAAGTTGTTCCCGACTTTGCTGAAACTGACGCGGACTTCCCATTTCCGCCAGGTATATTGGATGACGGCAATCCTATCGATGTATTGAATCATTTGAATACATTAACGAGCGACGCGTTATTGACACCACCAACACCCCGGTCATTTGTTCCTGCGGATTTTACTGGATACGCATACAACAATGACTTCCCCGCACTCTCTAGCGCGGTAAGGAAGCCACCAGCTGACTACACTGGGAATGAAAAACTCTGCAGAAACGCCCTTTTTGAGTCCGCAGAAACACTTTTTTTCCTGAAGTAAGCAGGCTGCGTGCACTCTGCAGAAGCCCTCGAACTCTCATTCCGAAAGCCGGCATGGCTTTTCTGCCGGGGGTGTTTTTTTTCTGCCGGGAGGTGTTTTTTTTCTGCTGGGAGGTGTTTGTCTCTGGCAGATGATTTTTTTCTGCAAAAAGCACCTGAAAACTGCACAGAATGGCTCGCAGAGTGGATTCATTGTTGGGCAGAAGGATTTTCTGGAGAATTATCGTTTGCAGCTTGACAATTACTTAGAGATGGATACCAGGCGGGCGTGACGAAACTAGCAGAAAATAAATAGCCAGTCTCTTTTTGAAATCTCAAGGCTGCGATGACATCATTGACATTTAATGCCACGGCACACTTTGGACCTAAGCCCAACGTCTCTCCTGCAAAACGAGAACCCCCATTAACTGTCTCATTAACCCAGACTCTAAAACGAGACCCATTATGATGTCGAGGAAAACATTAACCACACTCTAAATCAAATCGAATTCGAACCTATTCGTTTAAGATGACTCAGTCCCACCAACACTGGCATATTTCAAAAGCACGAGTCACAGTGATGACGTGGCCCCTGTTGACTTCGAGAACATCCTGTCAGGTTCAACTCCACAAGGAACTGGGAAAGAAATAACTGCCCAAGAGATCGTGCTTTCATTCACACATCAATAAAACCGTTGCAAAAAAGAGAGAGCAGTTTAGGGGGTTGGGGGATAAAATAGAGGATCTACGGGAATTTTACTACAATTTGTGGAAAGAATCGTAGTTGGGTAATATTTAAGGGTCAATATGGGGGTAAATACCTGGTTTCTAGGGCTTTTGGTAGAATGGAGATGGCCGGGGGGATGGGAAAAACAGAGGGGCTTCATGTTCACAAATAAAAGAAGGTTTTTGAAGGGGGGGGGCTGTAGTATCATTGACCTGGAAGAGCTCGAACGTGCTTTCGAATCCAAGGACGGCCACTTTTTTGAAATGTCGCTTGCCTCCGGCTTCAAGGTCGGCACAGTTTGTGTGTCATCAAAAAGGTCAGTCAACTGGGAACATGCAAAGTTCCAAATCTCTTCACTAGCTGCATCCACCTCCTTGAAATGGTCTCTTTTCAAACCTACGAGAGATTTAATTACTTCGATGCTCCCCTCCCTGATCATAGTTGCAACATCTCCTACCACGCATCTTTGGCTTTCTTGTTGGGAGCTTGCTGACCTCACTGAGTTTTTTGAATGTAATCCAAGGGAGTTTGAAGGTGAGGTCTTCTGTAGTGCTGACGTGCTTTGTAAGCTCACTGAGGGATTCAATGCCGACGTGATCATCATATGTCGGTAGTACCCAAAGCTAACAAACTGCTCTTTCAAACCGAACTCATCTTCAATCTCTACATTTGAGCCAACCGACAAATCCTCCTCCATCGACTCCTGCTGCGCCTGGAATGAACCTGTAGCAAGAACATAAGTGAGGGGACGAGAGTAGACTCCTGCCTTTTTCTCTGCTGTCTGTGTCATTACCTCCACCTGGGTTTTCTTCGTTTTCTGAGAAGGTGAAAGCATAGACAACACAATAAAAGATGTCTAGCTACAACTCATCTTATCATGTGGAACAGTATCCATTTTTGACTTACCTTGATTTCTTGGTAGCTACTTTTTTGCTCGGGTTATCTGAACTGAGCCTTTTCTGGAATAGAAAAGCAGTAGAGAGAGAAGGCGATGTATGTTAGGCACAAAACAAAGAGGTTAAATATTACTTTCGGGTAATGAGGAAATGAAACGAAGACTCACATTCTTGGTCTTTTTGTTTGCCATTTGCCTTTTCTGTCTGTTTCTTCCTCCTCCTCCTGTGTAATGTACAACTGTGTTTGTTAGAGAGTGATTCATGATGGGGGAGAGAAACATACATGAGCACTCACACTTTTGTCCGAAGCTTTTACCCTTTTCTGCCTGTTTCTTCTTCTCCTTCTGCTGTGTAATGTACAACTGTTTTTGTTAGAGAGTGATTCATGATGGGGGGAGAGAAACATACATGAGCACTCAACACTTTTGTCTGAAGTAGCAGAAGACCCATCTTTTGCACTCTAAACAAGAGACGACAAGGGGTGGGGGCGAAGTCAGTGAATCCAGGCCACAGCATTAGTCGAGATGGCCTTTCTACTCTTCACTCACAGTGGCCTTGGATGCCTTTCGAAGCCCTTTAAAGCTTTGGCGGCAGCTTCTTGTAAGAGCTGCTGTGTTTGCGCCTGACTGTCTGTCCCCTTGTCCGTTTCCAGTGTATGCACTCGCCCCTGGTCCCTTCTGGTCACTGTGCAAGAATTCAATCTGCTTTTCTGCAGTGGACAAGCGACTGGAAAGGTCAGCACTGAATTTGGATAGCTTTATGCCACTATTATGATCTCTTCCAAGGTCACCACTACATTGTCGGAAAAAAGGCAGTGTAATTTTTGGTCATCATTAGACGAAAGGGGAAGCAAAATATCATACCTTGTCAGACGGGCAGGGCCTCCATGATGGTTGATGTAGCTGTCCACTCTGAACAGAGCAGAGTCTGCTCCCTGAACAAGCTTGCACTGGAATTGCGGAGGTGGTGACAGGTAGTACTAGAGAAATTCGGGACTGACTGTTTTGCTTCTGGTGCATGTCCCCATTGCCTATGGCTGTGTACTTATCTTGGTCTACACGCCGCTGAACTGGAGGGGAGAAGGATCATAGCATGGTTAGAATGGGGGCTGTCAACAAAGACATCAACGCAACATGTAGTATATTACCAAGGCCCACATTGCCTTGTTCAATGAGGGCAATGCATTCTTCGGTGGAAATAAGCTCCGGAAGGGTTGTATCACTCATTTGAAATGTCCTCTGTGTGTTTTCCAACATCACGGTGAATGGCATGAACTCGGAGAATCGTTACTGCTGGGGGTATGATCTCTTGAGTGGGTGGGGCAGCTTGCAAATTCTCATGTGTGTCGGAGCAAATGGTGCTTGTGTTTGAAGCGGCACAGCAAATATCCGGATCATCATGCTGGCTAGATAAAGATATCTTGGTAGAAGAGCTGCTGTTAGAGGAACTGGAAGAGAAAGCTGATGTGGAGGGCGTCCTCCTCTGATTTTTAGCTCTTTGAGGAGGCAGTTCTGCACTCTTGACTGATGCTCTTCTAGATGACCGCAGTTGATGCCCGTTTCTGAAGCTCTCTTGACCATATCGCTTTACCTTTGACGCCAGGCAGGACACAGCATGCTTTGTCTAGATTCCAATGTTGTGGTATGAGAATGCACACGTCGCTGCTCACCATCCTTCCGCCTAAAAGCACGCAGCTCCCATCAATCTGGTACTCGTTCAAGTATAGACGCTTATCTTTGAGTTTCTTGTTGGTTGTATTGTTGAAGTTCTTGCGAATAGTCTGGAGTGAGTTCTTGACAACCTACTGGTACACTGCATCTCCTGCACCAAAGGCAGTGTTGTCTCGGTACCTAATACCAAATTCGGTTGTAAGGGCTTCCACAATTTCTTTCACCGTCTTTTCCTTGTTCGAGTTGAGAATTGGGTAGACCACGCTCCCGCATTTAACAACATTGTCAATGTCCAAGTCAGGGTCAATTGTCTGCAACCTGACTAGGTCTTCAAACTTGTCAACAAGGTCTTTATTTCTCCCTGCCTTGTGGACAACACACAGAATCACTTCGTTGTTTCTTTGCCCTGGCAACTATTTGGCTCTTCCACCGGGAACTGGCGCTCTCTTGAAGTCTGTTCTTTAGGGCGATGAACTCCTTCTTTGTCTCTCTGTTGATGTCGTCGCGGCTGACTCCAGTAGGATACCCAACCCAGACTTCTCTGATGTGTGGGTTCACTGTACTAATCTGGGAACTCTTTCCTGGACAAGGGAATACTCAACCTGTTCTTAATCTT